CACACACACACACACACACACACACACACACACACACACCCTCTTCCCTCTGCTCGCTCCGCCTGCGCCCGTGGTGACACCCTGACGCGCGGATTCTCGTGGGCATGCCCTTTTTCCCACGGGCCCTGCGGCGTTTCACCTCGCCGCACGCGACGGCCTCCTCCAGTTCTGCCCGTCCCGCCCTCACGCGACGGCCTCCTCCAGTTCCGCCAGTCCCGCGATTTTCCGTGGGCCCACGGCTGCGTGTGACGGCGGGACTTTGGAATGAAAGTTATGATATCTTCCTCCATTATTTACTAAAAAAAAAAAGGGTATAGAGAAAACGAAAAACGAAACATTGAATTGTCTCGCACAGTCACATGGACTCACACCCCTTTACGCCCCAAAACGAAAACTTTGGCAGGTGTAGCCTGATCCCTCCACAATGAACTGACCTTCTGTCATCGAAGGAGAAGTCCTTGCCGTGGTTCCCGTGAGTAGGCGCCGCAATTGAAATGTACTTCCTTAGCTCTCGCATAAACCTCCTCTCCAGGACATTGCCAAAGTCAAAACTGTCATAAAGTCCAGAAGACCAGTGACGATTGATATCAGTGAGATGATAGAGCCTCTTTTTACATTGCCCCATGAACAAGTAATCTAAGGCAAGAATATTAAAAACATTCTCACCATGGCAGCCATGAATCACCGGGAAATGTCTGGCATCATGCGGCATGATGAAAACCTTCTCCTGCATGTGAAATGGTTGGCGGCACAGTGGTTCGGCAGAGGATAGGGGAAAAAGAGAACAGAAAAAGTTGACATGAGACAAGTGGCATTCAGGAGGTCATGGGTTTAGTCCCTATTGGCCTCATATACCTTCCTGCACATTCTTGCTGATGGCATCGAGATGTAGGATCATGTAGCCTATTGCCCCCACCCCTCCCCCCCAAATTGGTATTAAGCAGAGACTGCTGATGTTCTTAGGGGAAGGGGGCCGGAGGGGAGGCACAGAGGCTGGTCCAGATTGCAACGTCTCTGATGCTACCGGCTGACCCCTGCATAGGAGATGCGCTGCAGGTGCACCCGTGGCTACGGGCGAAATGTCTGCTACTTTCAAAAGAACCGCATGGCACAGACAAGCGAAAAGATTGTTTCCTCTTTGAAATAGAAGGGGTAGGCGTTTAAGTCTTGATTCTTGAACTGAGTTCCACGTTCTCAATCCCGACTAAAAGACCACCAACCAGGTACTGTGGCGGTTGGACAACCTTCGCCGTTGTTCTTTGCGCTCCAAAGAGCTTGCGTAATGCTCTTCAGCTGATGTTTGCGCATTGCTTGTGAGTCCAACCTTGAAAACGCCTTGGAAAACCACTGAGAGTTTCACATCTACTCAAGTCAGGTTTTGCCTTGCCATATGGTCATAGCGAGAGACCCTCATTTTCGATTCCAATGAAAGGCTGGCAAATGAGCACTCTTTTATATCAGAGATGCGCCGCCTGATGCGCACTCGCCCAAAAGAACAGTTATGGGACAACACAAAAAAGGGACCGGGCACAAAAGACAGAGAACTAAATATTTTGTTTTATGGTGTCTCAACCATCCTACTGTCTTCACCCGAATAGAACGGCCGGTCATTATAGCCGTATTGGGGGCAACTTTCAGTCTAGATGCAGCCATAATGACCGGGCGTTCTATTCGGGTGAAGACGGTAGTCGACTGACACAAGTCTGGCCTTGGTAGTTCCGCCACAAGTGATGGTTAGCATACAGGGCTGATCTGGCACAGTGGCAATCAACCCTTTCTCATGGGGGGAAATTGTGGGCTAAAAAAAACTCCGTGATGTGACCGAAAGGGGGCTCACATCCACATTGCATGTCACGCTTCACAACACAATTACAAAAAATGGGGACAAGGAAAATGGTGGGCCACAAAAGAAAGGTGACGCAAAACAGACGGCAACAGCCAGCGCGTAACGACAGAGCAAATGATAGGGAAGACGATCACCAGGGATGTGACAATACGCTCCCAAGCTCTCAGATGATTAAGATATGAAATTTGGAGAATGGAGGCTTTGGAGAAAGAATTGAGGTCCCTGGTGATGATCAGGGATGAAAAGGATTTCAAACGAGGGTGATGACGAGTGCCGAGGATAGGGCTTGCATTTGAGGATAGGGCTGCACTACTGGACTATGTATAGGTAGGTAGGTACTTGCGCAGTCATAGTCTCATACAGAATTCCAGAGTGGGGGAAGTGGATGGCAGGCAGTAGCTCCTGCTGTTCCTTACTCAGGATTCCTCAGGAATTGATCAAGATAGAACCCTCCAATGTATAGTTCTCTGACATATCCTTCTTCATAGTCGTCCCGGGTGGTAGGGGCGTGGGGCAAGCTGCTCCCCTCATCATCTGCAACTGTAGATAAAATCCAGCTCAGAAAAACAGGCTTCTGCTTTGCCACATGCCTGAAAAAATGGCATAACAATGGAAAAGAACACAGTCACAATAAGGAAAACAACATGTGTGTTAGGGAAAGCTGCCGCAGAGGGGGGAAACATATGTTTCATTTCAGGGAAAGCTCTTGTCGAGACTGCAGTCGTATGAAGTAACAAATGGCGCATGATCAATTGGCCCAGCTTAGTTGGTGCACCCATGGCACTGCTGAAATACAGACCCAAGCTAGAATCCAGTTGGCACACGACCAATTTGCCTAGCTCAGTTTGTACGCGCATGAACTGTTGAAATACAGACCGAAGACCGAATCCAGACGCAATCAGATGAACAGAACAAAATAATTCTGAATTATCTGGACCCTGTCAGGTCAATGACGCATCTCAAGGCTGTCGCCCTTTTGAATAAAAGAAAAAAAGAAAAAAAAAAAGAGAAAAAAGAATAAATGGTGCATGCAACAGAGGGTTTTCAATGCAAAACAGGTTGAAATTGAGGGACAATTACACCAAGCAAAATTGTTGTATTTTTCCTTATACTCGAAACCAAAATACGGGTCTCACATGACGCTGTCCAGCGGAACCCATTTTCAAGATGGGCCCACAGCTGGGCCCAGGGCAGCACATTTTTTTTTCCTGACTTTCCAGTGTGCCACGTGTCCCTTTTTTTTTGTTATTCGTGGTGCAGGGGGTGGACGCTTGGTGTGTTGTGGGGTGTGCTAATGCAGTCAGATTCATCCACGCCGAGGCCTCTGTTTTTTGCCGGTTTTCCACGCACATCACTTCGTTTTCGGTGAATGCAAGTACATAGCAGAGCGATCCGGATGGAAGCTCTGGACTCAATTGGAATTGGAGTTGCATTCATCGGCACAGGGGCCATAATTGCTGTGTTGGTGAACTCGCACCAGGACGTTCAGTGCCCTGGATTCATCCACATACTGACTGTTCGGGCGGGAAGGAATAGACGCGACTGTTTGTGAAGGGCCCGGTGCTCAATGCCTTGGTCGGAGCATGCCAGGTGTTTTTCTTGGGCCGTTTCAGGGCACACTCACACCAGGACTCTACCACAAAGCTCTGGACGGGATTGCTGTCAGATTCATCCGCGTCTGACCATAATTGCATTGCTGACAACTTGCCGTAGTTCTCCTCACGTTGTGGTCTGTGGTCTGCCATTTCTGTCTTTTCCCACTGGCCGCTCAATTTTGTTGCGCCTACCCTGGCGACATTTCGCTCCGTTTGTTTGAATACAAGTACATAGTTGGCAGCTCCGGGAAGACACATGAATAGGTGACGAGCTTGAATCTCTCTTTGAGCATGTGTTTTCTTTGAGCATGTGTTTGTCTATCAACAGTTGATCGGTGGACCGTTCAGCAGATGTGAAAGATGGAGCATGCACAGTAGAAGAGCACACGAGTCCACGAATAGACGTGTCGATATAGTAACCAAAAAAACACTCAGATGATGACGAAAAGACATTGATATCTCCCTGGGGGAATGGGTGAAAGTAAAAGGGAGCTTGAGACCGGAGAAAATCTACTAAGGTTGAGCAGGCGCTGCCAAACGATAAGTTGGGAGTGACTGCCTGGAATGTATCATCGGGGTATGCTGGATTGGGGGAACTCCTCCAGGCCTGCGCCGCACAAGAGGGTGACCTGCGGTAAATACTGGACAGAAGTAAGGTGCAGATGGTGGCGGTATGTGAAGGCGGCCAGAAGGCGACAAGGCAGTATTTGCCTTTACAAGTTGCACTTCGAAAGCGGGATTTGGTGGGGGACCCGGGGAAATGCCAGTGGTCGGCCTGCAGGATGCAAAAGAAGACGGTGCAGCTCCAGTGTCTTACCACGAAGAACATCTTCAACTCTCTGTTGGATCCGGTGGATACATGCGGTGAATTGAAAAATCGATGGGCTAAGACGGATTGGATCCCAGATGTATATGTCAATAGATGGTTTCAGCATAGATGGAACAAACAAAATGCTATTTTGGCTGCCCTGCCAGACCGGAAACAGGCAGGCCTGCTGTGGCAACTATACCATTTGGCGATCCCCACAGCACAATGGCTTGCAGCAAGAAGTCGACACAAAGACCAGCTATGTGCAGCAGGATGCGGCCAAGTGGAGACCATTGCGCACCTCTTTGTGAGGTGCCCGGTGGTCTGGACCTTCTGGATATGGTGGGTGCAGGAAATGGCGGACAAATCCCCCTTGGGGGTCATAGAGACAGATGATGCAATTATCCTTCTGGGGGCTCGGATGAGGGTGGACAGATCACAGGCGAAGGACCAGATGGCTTTAGAAATCATTAGGGCAGCAGTGCTGTGGGCGCTGTGGACTCTGAGGAATGAGCGATGTAGGCAACAAGCTACGTGTTGGTTAGTTACAAACAGGAGTCAGGTGAGTTTGGCGATGAGTCGCTGCGGCGCCCTAAACCAGGCGACTCTGGCAATAGAGCGGAGCGAGTGCCAGGATAGAATCAAGAACTGCGAGTGTACGGAGAAAGAGCGGTGAAGAATATTAGAATTGCCACAGATTGGCAGCACTGCAAGCATAAAGGAGGCAGGAGGGAGGCTTTTGGGCACAATGGGAACCTTACCCACCCTTGCTTACCCGACACCTTCAGGCAGGCCAGATGCAGCTGGGCCCTGGCCTGATGCGTCATGTACCATGGACTGATGCAGAGGGAGAAGAAGAGAATGACTAGACAGAGGGGGATAGAGTATCATGAGAACGGGCGGTTTGTAACATAAGTAGGATGTGGGAAATGGGGGATAGGAGGGAGAACAGAGAGTTGGGAATGGTAGATGCAGAAGATTGGTGTAGGTGTAAAGGGTGGAAGGTTAGAAAGGGGGGATGGGGGAGGATAGTGTTAGGTTACACGGGTTTAATTTGAAAACATAAAAAAGGATGAAGCCGGAGGAGGTGGGGGTGGAAGAAAAGTAGGAAAATGCTGGGGCTATCAATAATAGAAGGCCCATAACAACAGTGTATATAGAGTCATGAAAGGCTATATACAGAAAATTCAGGGATAGGAGCGGGGGGAAAAGATCAAATAGAGATAGAAATGAGTCAGGGGTGATAGACAAATGTATGATAGGAAGGTGTGGAGTGGCAGAAAACAGTTGTTGAAGGGATGAGTGGCCCCAGGGACTGGTCTGAAACGCCCCCCTGTACTCCGTGCCCCGCGATGGACCACCCTATTGCGTGTCTGGGTGCTGCTAGTAAGCCTCCCGGCCAATGGGGTGATCCACGGTGAAGGGACAAAGGCTTTGGGGTCGGAAGTACAGAAGCAGCCCCTCCTTGCTCAGGTGGCTAGTGCCACGAGGGCTGGGCTGATCTTCTTTTTCTCGTCTTTTCTTCTATTGGCTTTGTGAAAAAATGATTGCCAGGGATAAGTAACCGGACTGGTGCCCCCCAAAATAGAAGGGGCTTTTTTTTTTTTTTTTTTTTTTAAGAAAAAAAAAGAAACGAAATGAAATGAAAAGACAAACAGGTGGGACCCCTTTCGCAGGTGCTCCCTTGGTAGACGATCAATGTCACAACGGTTAGGCTCTCTCCCTTTTCTGATCTGATCTCCCCCCTTTTTTGGATGTACAAACATGCTTGCCGGTGATAAGCAACCGGACTGTTGGCCCCCAGAATAGAAGGGGCTTTGTGGTAAAAAAAAAAAAAAAAAAAACAGAGGCAAACACAGTGTATTATCAGAAAGGCATCCCTAATGTATGTTTCGGCTGCCGCCACAATCATCTTCAGGGGGTTCCACAGTCTTCTTCCCCTGACTACTCCAATCTTCACACACCCGCTTCCGCGTACACATCATCTGGCATCTCCGGAAATGCCGAAGGTGTGGACACGCCAGTCCTAAAAGAGGATTGAATACTTCACACAACATTCTTGTATCAAATAGTAGACAGTCGCAGAGGGTCTGTTCCAGATTCCACTGGGCCTCCAATACACCACATAACTCAAAACCAATTGGGCCCAGGGACAACTGAAAAATAAGGCTGAAAAGTTAGACTAAAAGGTCCTGTGTCGTAAAGGGCTTCAAAAGCTCACATTAGAAGGCCAAGATAGGGACCCGGTCACAAAATGGCCAGAGTCCCTGAAATGGGTGTACGCCGAAATGAGGCGCAAAAATGCATGCAGGCCATCGGATGCCGTGGATCCACGGACAAGGCGCATGCAGAACCGGTTTTCTACCGGTTTGTTCACAGCGCGCCGGAGAACGAGAGAGTGGCACGAAGGGGGATGAACCGTGAAGTGCGACGGCGGGCGTCCATGCGTGCGATTTGTGAAGTGCGATGGCGAGCATCGATGCGCGCGATTAGTAGATTATCCTACTGGTACCATGCTACCATAGAGCATTCAGCCACCCGACAGGTACTGGCTGTGGTTTGTCAACAGTTCTATCATGCGTATGCAATGAATTGCTGTGCTACAAGCGGGCTGTATACTAATTTTGTCCCCATCGTCGTTGTCGGGATTTGATCTCGCAACCTTGTCTGTTGTATTGCCTGTTTGTTTGTTGTCTGTGTGTTTTGAACCTTGAGGGACTCGATCCCGTGACCTATAACCTGTGTGTTTACCTTGTGAGTGTTGTGCCCTATGGGGCTTGATCCCTGTGTCCGCCACTAATAGTCTCTGTTTGGTAGTCCTAGGCCATTCGACCTTTTCCTTTTGCCTTGTCATAGGTCTAGGCCCCTTTTCCACTCTTTCCATCTAGATACAGATAGGTTTTGGGTTGTTGCTTTGGGGGAGGCCGTCGTAGGTCTAGGCGGAGTCTAGAAGTAGCGGGCAGGAAAACGAGTGCGGGTCTTTTGCACGTACATAGTTTTTCCTATGTACTATGTAGATGAACTTCGTTTTTCCTATGTACTATGTAGATGAACTTCGTTCTCTGTACTAACTTTGTGGGGGAGGCCGTCGTAGGTCTAGGCGGAGTCTAGAAGTAGCGGGCAGGAAAATGAGTGCGGGTCTTTTGCACTTACATAGTTTTTCCTATGTACTACGTAGATGAACTTA